TAATAAACCCTCGTTATAATACATACAGATATAATTAAAATTAAATATTCCGGGTATTGTATGTTTAAATAGCATGAGATACAGTAATTAAAATATATATAACTTATTGGATATTTATTTAAATTATTGTTTTGTATACTATTTGTTAGGAATTTTAAATAAATAGTGTTCACTGTATGTGTCATATAAATGTCAAAAATTATATAAAATTTTATATACAATAGAGAAATGTGTGTAAAAACTAAAGGGTAGGGAAAGGGATGCCATGGTATTGATAGGCAACGAATCAGAGGGCACATAAAAAAATTATACTAAAAATATAATATGAAATTAAATTTCAAAAGTCTCTCTCTCTCTCTCTCTCTCTCTCTGTCATAAAAATTTCATTCAAATGAATCATTCATTCAGTTATGGATTTTTGGAGTAAAATCTAAAATCTAAAAATTCATATTTTCTGAGCTCTCTCTCTCTCTCTCTCTCTCCGGTAAAAAACTTATGAATAATAATAATAATAATGAAAGTATTCATTGGAGGAAAAGATATTGATTTTCGAGTTTTATATTTTAATACAATATTTTATTTTTATATATAATTTTCTATCTCCCCCTCCTATTCCCGCTATATCTTACTCTCCCTTCCCTCTCAAACTACTCGTTCATCCATTTATCATATCTTTTAATACTCTAATGAATGACGAGAGAGAGAGAGAGAGAGAGAGAATGAGCGGGAAATCGGTGGTAGGAGTTGAGGGGAACTGGAGTTTACTACTATATGCTATGGCTATGTATGAGAGGGTTAATAAAAATCGTAAAAATCGAGACACAGTTTAATATGAAGGGGGAGATTGGGATAGAAATTGCAAATGTTATGTCTATGGGAAGGGTGTGTGTAATATAGGGGTGAGAGTGTTTGTGTGAGATACATAAGCGCACAGTTAGTATATTCAAGTGTTCCGGGAGAGTGTGAGTGAGTGAGTGTGTGGGGGAGGGAAAGGGATATAAACATGAGTTATGACTTCGAGATATTATATAAGGGAAAGGGAGAGAAAAATTAATTTTTATTATTATTTTTTCGGGGAACGTTAGCTCAAAAAATAACTAATATATTGTGAAATACGGTATATTCAGTGGGTATAGACCAGTATATATTTATATTTATTTTATGTCTCTCATAGTCTCTCTCTCTCTCTCTCTCTCTCTCTCATCGGAAAACTTTTAACTCAAACCTAAACCGATGTAAAAAATAAATAAAAAGTAATTTTTATTTATTAATAGTTACTTTATAAACAGACTTACTGAAACCTACATAAACAACCACTAAATGTTTTAAACACTATTCACCACAAACTAACCTACCAGTCTCTACCATTCCATACGAATTAAACATTCAATTTATATAAACACAAACAAATCGCGAGGAAAATCATAATAAATAATAAAAATTAGGGATTTTTCGGTTACTATAGTATGTGATGTATCTTATTATATAACATGGAGGTCATGGGCTGTTCCCCTAAACATACCATTCCCTAACAACAACAGGCACATTCTGTAAATGCCTAGTATGCTAGTAATACAAACAATAACTTTCATCCCCTCTCATTTTTGTCTAACATTTTTCACATTATATTGTATAATAGTCTATGTATTCATACAATATACGAGACTCTTGTATATAACACACAAAAATAATAGCATTTTTTCGGTGAAAACTTTTTTCGCATACTATTTATCATTTGATTAATTATTTTGAGTTTTTTGTGCAAAAAATATTTGTGTTTCTAAAAGGAAAATCATTTTTTATTTTATTGTTTTCTATGTTTATACGAATGTATTTGTGATTAAAATGTTGATTTTGAAAATATATGTCTTTTCATAACATAGGAAAAAGTTTTTAATAAATTATTTTAATAAATCCCTTTTCAATAGCGAGTGAAAAATAAAATAAAATTGCATTTTAATTATGAAAAATGTGACAAAAATCGTTTTCAACTATACATACATGTCATAACAAATATGTATTAATAATGAATAAAATAATTTTTCACATGAATTATATAATGCTATGAAAAATACCCTTAAAATCAAAAAGGTTTTCGCAAATAATTTCCACCGAAAAAAGTCCCAAAAATTTACGCAAAAAAATTAAATTCAATACAATAGACAACAACTACAGTAGTTATACGGGAATGGGAGGGAAGTGCACCTCTAAGCCCCTAAAAAATAACCCACATATAAAATCCTGTTTAATTATATTATAAAAACAGCAAAAATAAAATATTTACTCAAAATTAGGACATTATTTCCAAAAAGGCTTAACAAAACACATAATACACACCCAGTCGTAAAAATGGGCTAAAATTACCCCTAAATGTCACAAAACTTAGCAAAAAACATATTTTTACAAAATGTCATAAAAACACTTTAAATCCAGGGGCTTATCATAAGTACCTAAAATTCCCCTACCACCCTTTACCTATCGCACAATTTAATAACATTTTTATTATTATCTCTTTTAATAAAATACACCCCTACCCCACCCTGAACATGGCTATTAAAACATGTAATTACATACACGCATAACTGTGATAATAATCAGGTACAATTATAAATACAAAAAACACTAAATATTTGTCAAATTTATTGCCTATTGCAAACACTCGTGTTTGTCTAAAAACCCACGTAAAATAATCCTGGTATAATTAACTTATAGCCTAAACATATAAGTAACAAATAAATCACCGTGGATACCGATTTATTTATTTTTACAGCAGGGAGAGTTTTATTAACAGAATAATCAATAAAAAAATATCACACCATAATTACAACATAACGAAATTAATGTAACTAGCTCGCTTTAAAAAAGAATATATAATTAATTGGTGGTCAAGTTATGCAACAAGCTCGCTTAACAAAAAAAATTAAATCATTAATAGGGGTCACATAAATACACGTAAATAATGAGCAAACACATTAGATTGAACACAAACTCACCTCGGTAACAGAACTCGATGATCGTGCGCAGGACATCGTACCCAATCTCGCGGATGATAATCACCGGGAACTGGTTGGCCGGTAGGGCACTGAACAGCGACTTAAAGTACGGCGAGAATGCGCTTAAAATGATTTTATGGGCGCGTATTGTCTGCGAGTGATGACCGGTACTGATGTGTACGTCCGTGCAGTACGACTCGGACAGTAGGCCCAGCAGTGAGCGGCTCAGGGCTGCCGAATGCGAGGAGAACCGCAGGTAATACGACTGTCCACTACCCCCACCCCCCGCACCGGGGGTGGTGTTGGGGGTTATAGTTGCCATCGTATGTGTGTGTGTTTATGGGGGGTGTCTATGGGCGCACACTATCGGTGCACATGTATGGGTGGTGCGTAACACGCAGTATAAACACAATTATTTGTAAGTGACCCTCACCAATTAATTAAATTTTTGGCGATTTTTGTGCCAGATCACTCGGGATGTGGTAGACCTTGGTGTCTATGGGTTGAGTTAATTGTTGTTTGCGTTTAGTATAAACACAATTATTTGTAAGTGACCCTCACCAATTAATTAAATTTTTGGCGATTTTTGTGCCAGATCACTCGGGATGTGGTAGACCTTGGTGTCTATGGGTTGAGTTAATTGTTGTTTGCGTTAATAGTTGACTGGTTGGAGGGAATTATGTGGGTGATATTATTGTTAATTTTTAATTAGCGTTCACACAATACAACTGCAAAATATTAATAATAGTATTTTTATTATTGTTTTTTCTTGCCACCAAATAAGTTATGTTTATTCATACAAAACGTTTAATTATTACAAAAACAATTGTACACTGATGATAAAAATAGTTTGGTGTTGGTCCACATAAAGTTTACACTAGATTTAAATCAGCTTAGCACACAATAATTTAAAAAATTATTTTGGTAGGCTCGCATATACATAGCTCACATTACGCAATGAATTGTCATTTTTTGGGAGTACTTAATAACATACACTTTATTATAATATCGCCTTAATATATGAAAAATATTTTTGATGTCTGCCTGTTACATAAAATACTGGCACTGCAATAGCGCGCTATAATAGTACAGCGAGTATGCTATACATGGTTTGGCAGCACTTTTTTGATATTTGATTTTTCTCTCCCTCTCTATATCTCTCTCTCGTCATAATTTTGTGTATATTTTGTGTATATTTTTTGTATTTGGAGTGAAAAAAGTGGGTTTGACTTCAATTTCTACTCTCTGCCTGTATGGTTATTATTTTGGGTGAGCCAGCTAATACGTCATATAAATTTGATTCGGCTAGATTTTCATTCATTTATCTCGCGTGTAACCTAGCTTAATAGTTATATAAATTGGTTATTTTAGAATAGTGATATTTAAGGGGGTATGTTAAATAGGGAAGGGCCCTGGTTAATTATTTATTTAGCATGCAGCAATATTGTTGATAGATGCATATTTTTGACGTAATTCATTTTTAATTCATAATTGGATAACTGATATGATACAAAGTTTAATATTAAATAAATTAGTGGACAGTAAAGTTTTTTCTAATTAATTTTAGTACTTAATTTTAAGGTACGTTTTAAAGTTAATTTTAATAAATCAATATGGTCAATTTTACTAATTAATTTTTATTTAATAGAATAGAATTAACTTTTAAACTAATTATGGACGTTATTACTTAATATACACACAATGGGATTGTCAGTAAAAGTTTTGGCACTTTTCTATACACCAACTCATATAGAAAACCATATTAACTGGCAATGAAAAGGGCCCAACTATTTATGGCAACTATTCAGTTAAAAAACAATATTTAAATTCTTAATACAGTCTACACTCGTTATATACTACACTAATTATTAAAACTACACATGCAACTTTTCTAAAATACTTTAATTGAACAAAATTCAGAATTAATAATCACGGAATAAATCATTATTAAACTAGTTAATTCATATAACCAATTTACATGACCAGGGTATCAGACACATAACGGTAGCTATAGTGCACTGTATATCCCAAACACGTTGGCATTGGTTTGCAATACAAAAACAAAACGTTTCACACATTCAGTGGTGAATCGTATCTCCGATTAAACACACGTTTCGTTAATCGCATTGAAAATCAACGCAAAAAAAGTTTTCAAAACTTTTGCCACAGTTTTCCCATTGATATCAAGAGCTCGCGAGTGGATAGGGAGGCCAGGGATGTCAGCCGATAGCGATTACCGGACACAGTTGATGGAGTTGGCGAACCGGGAGGCCCGGGAGCTGTTACTTAACGGCCAGAAGATTGGCAAACAGGTGACCGCCGAGGGAGGGGTGCTGTCGGAGCTGGTGTTCGCCATCAAGTCGTTGAACTTCTTGGAGGTGATCCGATGCGAGCCGTTCACCACATTGTCACCGATGGTCAGGTGTTTGGAGGCCTTGCAGTCGCTGGTCCTCCACAGCAATGGCCTCACAGCTGTTCCCAGTAATGCATTGTCTTATCATTGTTGCTACGACTGATGTCTCTCTCATACTCTCTGTCATACTCTCTCGGTTTAGCTCTCTCTCTGTCTCTCTCTCTCTCTCTCTCTCACTCATTGTCTCACTCTCTTAAGTCTCTCACATACTCTCTCGCAATCCCTATTCACTCACTATCTAACTGTCACTCATACTGATCACCGCAACTGATCCACCACTTCATACCACAAACACTAATCCAAACCTCTATTACAGCCGAAATCGGTTCGCTATCGAAACTCAAGTTCTTGGACCTGAGCCGCAATCAGCTGACATCCATACCCGACTCCATCGGCCAGTTGGCAACACTGCAGACCCTGAACGTGGAGCACAACCAGCTCGCGGACCTCCCGGACCTGTCCGGACTCAAGTCCTTGCTATCCGTGAAGCTGTCGGGCAATCGGTTGACACGATTTCCATCGAGTCTTTGCGTGGACTCATCGCTGCAACACTTAAGCGAAATACACGCCAACTGTAACCAAATCGCTGACATTCCCCCCACTATTAGCAAACTGCCGGCCCTTAAGCACCTGGACCTCAGCTCCAACGCCCTGCTGGCACTGCCCGGACAGTTGGGCGACTGTTCCAAGATTAAAGTCATCGATCTTAAGGTATTGTCCCCTTTTTTGTGGACATTAATTGTCTTATTCTTAACCATCGATTGCCATAAAAAGACTTTTTGATTAAAACTAAAGTTTTGAAAACTTTTTTGGATTAATCTAATGATAACTAAAAGTGTTTTTTGTGTGAAAACTCCCACAGAATAACAAACTAAAGGACAGGCGTTTAGTGAAACTGATAGACCAGTGCCACACCAAACAGATCATGGATTACATCCGGAGTCAGTGCCCGCGCACTACTAGTAGTCAAAAGCCGAGCGCCGGTACCACTGATGGCGATGACAGCGCCACCGGAGGCGAGAAATCCGGTGATAACAACACCGACAGCGCCGGCGATAAGGTGAGGGATGCCTCGCAAGACAGGCGCTCGAAGGCCAGGGATGCCCGTAGGCGCCGGCGCTCGTCATCCCGTTCCCCGCGCACGTCCGAAAGCAGTGATAAGCCGGCGCTCGACACGATTAACGTGTTGGCCGTCCAGTCGGACGAGTGGTTTAAGGCGACGACAACGCCGGCGGTCCACGAGTTGCGCAAAATAGTGGTCTGTCTGGTGAGGGGCGTGGATCTGACCCGCGAGGGCACCATCAAGAGGTTCCTCGCCTTGCAGACGGGTACGGTATTTGGTGTTTGGGTTTAATACCCGTCCCTTTTCACGAGTTTAGCCCTCTCTTGAAGTCTCTCCTATACTCTCATGTCTTATAGTATCTCTCTCTCTCTTTTCTCTCTCTCTCTCTCTCTCTCTCTCTCTCTCTCTCTCTCACACACACACTCACACACACACATACATACATACCCTCTCTCTTACTCACTCACTCATACCCTCTCTCATACACACTCGCATACCAAACCCATAACTCATACCATACATCTCTACCCCACAC